CCAGAGACTCTGAGGGAGAGAAGGTCCCTGTGCTGCCCACCCGCGGTCCTGCCCAGAGGATTCAGAGTGAGGGGACCCGGGGCGGGGCGGGCACGCAGTGGCGGGGTGTGCGAGCTCTCAGGCAGCCTGCTCCAAGCTGCCTGGTTCGTTTGCATTCACAATCAATCTGTCTGTTCCAGTCCATTATCTCCTCGTTGGCTCTGCGAGGGAGGGAGGAGGGGGTTGTGCAGGCGGAGGCAGGGGTCAGGCCGCCGCCCCGCCCGAGGGGCTTCTCAGTTCTCCGCCCCGCAGGCCTCCTGGTCCCAGCCCCTGGCTGGGCCCACCTGGGGCTTGGAAGGGCCTGGCAAGTGAGCACCCTCGTGGGAATATCCAGCCGGGAGCCCGGCCCTGGTTCGAAGGCCCAGGGCGATGGGCGTTCGGGAATGGGGTGTCGGCCGATCGCACGCCCCCTCCCGTTGTGGAGAGACCTAGGCCCAGAACAAGACAGGGGCCTCGCTCCTCCCGGTCTCCCTAGGGCCATTAGAGAGATTGAGTACCTTCCCGTTAATTGCCCGAGCTACCCGAGTAACTCAGTGCCAATTATCGCAGGCTGCTCAAGTGACTTCCAGACAGCGGTGGCCCCGCCTCAGCTACCTCCAGGATGTCCATCCCGCCTGAGGCCACGGTTGCTCGCCACCCTCGGCCCCGGGCCACAGGGGAGCATGTTCTAGCAGGTCCTTCTCTCTCCTAGAAGTCTTGCTGGCCCCACCGGCCACACAGAATACTCAAGTATTTTCTAGTCATCACCATGTGATTGATGCTCGAGTACCTCCGGGCCAATTATTCCAGAGTACTGCTGTAGGTTTCACCAGCTGCTAAAAAGTACTTGAGTGTTTTGAAACGGATTACCACCCCAGGATGCTGGAGATCGCTCCCAGTTTGGGCCCTGACTTCCTGCCCCAGACGGAGACAAGGGGAGGAAGGGAGGCGGGGGTGGGGGCGGAGGCCGAGGCCAGGAGGGTGGGTCTCATCTCCTTCCCCCAAATCAAGGGTGGTGGGGACAAGAGGTGGTGGACACGGGGAGAGGGCCTGGTCACCAAGCTATGACTCCGCACCGCCTTCCACTTTTCCATCTCCATCCCCAGTTCCGGGGAGGAGGTGGGGTTCCCTGGTCACAACGGGGAAGGGCGTGGGGCTAGTTTCCCCATGAAGACAGGGTAAGGCCGAAAAGGTGCCAAACTGCAGGGCGGTCCGCTCCGCGAGGCAGAGGTGGCGCTCCTGCCTGAGCTCCAGGACGCGGCTTTGGGACGCGGGCCTGCCTCAGACCTGGTCCACGGGGAGCCCCCATGCTCTCCCCAAGCCGGCGCCCCGGCTGCACCGAGCACTAG